GGGAGGCAGGTTCACTCGAGTGGTTAGGGTCTGGAATGTACTGTCTGCGAGTGTGGGGGGAGGCAAGTTCACTCGAGTGGTTAGGGTCTGGAATGTACTGTCTGAGAGTGTGGGGGAGGCAGGTTCACTCGAGTTAGGGTCTGGAATGTACTGTCTGAGAGTGTGGGGGGAGGCAGGTTCACTCAAGTGGTTAAGGTCTGGAATGTACTGTCTGAGAGTGTGGGGGCAGGCAGGTTCACTCGAGTGGTTAGGGTCTGGAATGTACTGTCTGAGAGTGTGGGGGCAGGCAGGTTCATTCGAGTGGTTAGGGTCTGGAATGTACTGTCAGAGAGTGTGGGGGCAGGCAGGTTCACTCAAGTGGTTAGGGTCTGGAATGTACTGTCTGAGAGTGTGGGGGAGGCAGGTTCACTCGAGTGGTTAGGGTCTGGAATGTACTATCTGAGAGTGTAGGGGAGGCAGGTTCACTCGAGTGGTTAGGGTCTGGAATGTACTATCTGAGAGTGTGGGGGAGGCAGGTTCACTCGAGTGGTTAGGGTCTGGAATGTACTGTCTGAGAGTGTGGGGGAGGCAGGTTCACTCGAATGGTTAGGGTCTGGAATATACTGTCTGAGGCAGGTTCACTCGAGCGGTTAGGGACTGGAATGTACTGTCTGAGGGTGTGGGAGTGGCAAAAAGACAGAATTGTAAAATACCTGAAAGGAAAGCTGAAGTCTCACAGGGAAAAAGCAGGAGCAGGTACTGACATTTGGTATAGCAAGAACTCCACCGCTAGCCTCATCCCATGTCCAACCCTCCCTCTCATCCCCGCCTCCTTGACCTGACACAACCTGTCCATCTTCACTCCCACCTATCCGCCCCTACCATCCCACTGACCAATCCCTACCACCCCGTACCTGCACTCACCTATCACATACCACCTACCTTCCCCAGCCCCACCCCTCCTCTCCCTATTTATTTCCCAGCTCCCTTCTCCCCCACACCCCACCCCACCATTTCTGAAGAAGGGTCCTGACCCAAAACATGAACATTCCTGCTCCTCTGATGCTGCCTGGCCTGCTGTGTACTTCCAGCTCCACACTGTGTTATCACTGACATTAGGTAATTTGTTTTTGCAGAGCCAGCAAAAACAGGACTCTTGTGCTGTAACCAAAGTATGAATCCGCTGTGTTCTATTAAGCAATCCCAGCATTGTATTAGATTAAACTGAAAGCAAAGCTCTCTCGACTCTTTTAAACTGAATGTAAAGATCCCCTGGCACCGTCTCTATGTAACACTGCTGGGGAGGTGCAGCATAAGATTATGTACAGAGTAAAGCTCACTCTACTCTTTCAAACAAGAAGTAAATGGAAAATAAAGCTTCCTTGACACTATCCCCATCCAATACTCCCAGAACAGGTACAGCATAGGGTTACACAGAGAGTAAAGCCTTCTCCACACAGTCCCCATTGAAATAACTGCATTAAGGCCGGTATCTTGTCAGCAAGTCACCCGTTTATTTATACGTGAACAGTCCTTGACTAGAGTTATCTATCAGGCTGACAGTACATCTGACACTCCTGTTTATATCTGTCAGCCAGGGTTCCCTGATTGGACCAGGTTAACAGCACCAATCAGGGAACTCATATTCTATGAGGTTTACCTGGCTGATCTTATTACAGTCACTACACTCATCTTACACTTGGAGAACATGTATAGCAACAGGGTTAGATACAGAGTAATGCTACCACTACGCTTTTAATTATAAAGTAAACCTACATCTACTCTTTTAAACCGTAAGTAAAGCTCACTTAACACTG